CTCCTCCTCCCTCCTCCTCTCCTCCTCCTCCTACTCCTCCTCCTCCTTCTTCTCCGCCGAGACGCGCCGGGAAGTCCCAAGCGGTCAGCGCCACCGCGGCCGCGTCGGTCGCGCCAGACGAGCTGGCCGCTCTGCGCCGGAGCCCTGCGCGCGCGGGAGCCCTGCGCGCGCCAGCGCGGCAGAAGCGACGCGCCAGCCAGCGCCAAGCCGTTATCGCAATCGCCGCCCTGGCCATCGCTCGGACGTCCATTCCCTGCGTTTGTTTCGGCTTCGTGCGTGGTTTTTTCGCCAAATGCTCAAGGATGCTCCTCGATGGTCCTCGCCGAAGGAAACTTGCACACGTCCGAGCGATGCCAAGCCGCCGCAGGAACTTTGCAAACCGAGTTGCAGGTGGTTGGGTGGGATGATTGCGCGAGCAATGGAGTGGACAATCTCAGCTTCTGCAGGATGGGCTGCACCACGTGATGAGCACCTCGTCGACTGCCCAACGTATCTTGCACCACGTGCTTTTAGTGACACGCTGTTTGGGCTCCACGCTGGCCAACTTGTGCACGTCTATGTATGCATGTGTGTATGCACAGATACAGATACACATGTAATATATGTATATATATATATATACATACCTATATCGATATATCGCCAGTGTTGCAATCAACGTCGCTCGGGTCGGTGGCCCTGACGAGGGGGCGCCCAGAATCGTGTGCACAGGGGCGGCTGCAGCGCCGCTCAACCATGTGCTGTGAACCGACCCTGCAGGGCGGGGCCCTCTCCCTGCAGAGGGTCACCCCGATCTTCTCCCTGGCCAATTGTCGGCCTCGCTGAAGTTCCGCGGAAAACAATACATACATACATACATACATACATACATACATACATACATACATACATACATACATACATACATACATACATACATACATACATACATACATACATACATACATACATACATACATACATACATATAAATATAGCATACATGCAGATATATATATATACATATATATATATATGTGTATACAGATGCTCAGCCCCCCACGAGCCCCCCCCCCAATCGACGGACTGGGAAGGCATCCTCCTCATCATCATTCTCTCCTGCTCCTCCTCCTCCTGCTATTCAGTCAGTCGCAGTTCAGTCGATTGCAGTCCAATCGATTGCAGTCCAATCGATTGCAATCCAATCGATTGCAATCAAATCCATTGTCTCCCAATCGATTGCAATCCGAACTTCTGCAATCCAACCGATCGTAATCCGATCGATTGTAATCCAAGCAATCACAAGCAAATCGCTTTAAAGTCCATGGATTGAAAACCAATCGATTGCACTTCAATCGATTTCACTCCAATCGATTGCAGTCCTACGGGTTACAATCGTTGGCAACGCATTGCAATCGAATTGACTGCGTTGCAATCGACAGCAGCCAAACTGATTGCAGCAATCCAATCGGTCGACGCAATCGATTGGACCACAAAGCTTACTCCCCATGGCGTGCACCACATCTGATGCACCACGGAGCTTGCACCACATAGCTCAAACTATATAGATGAGTACGGTCGATCCTACCACATACCTCACAGCACAGCACAGGGAGGAGGGAGCATAAAGAAGGGAGGATGTAGGAGGCTGGAAGGAACAAGGAGGAGGAGGATGGCCGGCAGCACGTATGTAGGCCTGGGCGGTTTGGGTGTTTTCAGTCCTTCAAGCCAAAACCTTTGAACAATCGTGCTGCTGTTCTTATAGTGTTTCTTCCCCTCATTCTCCACCCCTCTCTTCCCCTTCGGAGGTGGAAGGGGACGAGGAAGAGGATGAGCGATCGAAGCCGGATGCAGATGAGTTAATCCTTAACGTCATCCTCATACTCCTCCTTATCCTAGTTCTAATTCTCCTCCTCCTCCTCCCCTCCTCCTCTTCATCTTCCTGCTCTTTCCCCCTATTCTGTCACCCATTTCCCCCCTCATCAGCTTCATCCCCCCTTTTCGGATAGGAGGACTAGTGGGGGGACGCGAAGGATCAGTTCATCTTCCTCCTGCTACTCTCACTCCTCGTCGTCATCTTTCTCCTCCTCCTTCTGATAATCACGATCGTCCCCTTCCTTCAATTCCTCCTCCCACCGCCTTTATGGACGAGGAAAAAGCAGAGCGATAGCAGGCGGGTGAGTGGTATGGGGAAGATGAGGATGGACAATGGTGGCGAAGGATGTGGAGGAGGAGTGCCAGGATGTGGAGGAGGAGGCGACGAAATATAGGTGGTGGATGGAAAGGAAGAGCAGCAGGAGAAGAATGGTAAACATCAGGAGGAGGACGAAGAGGGGGGGAGAAGGGGGAGGAGTGTGATCACGGGGCGGACAATCGAAAAGGAGGAGGAGGACGGGGAGGAAATCCAGACTGGTGTTGAGAAGCAGCCTTCCTCATCCTTCCCGTCGTCACCACCCTCCTCTAAGCATTATTCCTCCTCCCCTCCTCATTCCTCCTCTCCTCCTCCTTCTCACCCTACTCCTGTCTTCCCTTATGGCGGGAGGAGGCGGGAGGGGTGCTAGGAGGAGGAGGAGGAGGAGAAGGAGGAGGAGGAAGAGGAGTAAGAGGGGTGCGAGGACGGCGAGGAGGAGTTGGATGATGAGGAAGACATCATCTATCCTCGTTCTGCTGTTCCAACCGGTCCTCCTCATCATCATCCGTGCATCGCTCCTGCTGCTTCTCCTTCATCCTCCTCTTTGAAGTCCTTAGGAGTCTTGAGTGCATGCTCAAGGCAATGATATTAGCAAGCCTGCACAACAAACAACGGCCGCGTTGCAATCTGTTTGGTGCAATCTATGCGGTGGAAGCTACATGGCGCAAACTATGTGGGTCAATAGTTGTTGAACGAGTGTCGTGATGTGAGCTACGTGGTGCGATCTATGTGTTACGAGCTAGCGTACTCATCTATGTAGTTTGGGCTATGTGTTGCGAGCTTCATGGTGCATCATACGTATGCTGTGCAGTCAATGTGGTCCAATCGATTCCGTTGCAAGGCAATTGGTCGGATTGCAGTTCGTCGTAACATTCGATTGCAACTGATTGGATTGGAATCGGGTGGATTACATTCGATTGCAACTCAATCGATTTGATCGCAATGCGTTGCAAACAGTTGTAACTGATACTATTGCATCTGGTTGGGGTGAGATTGACTGAGCTGCACTCGATAGGCTTTCAGTCGATTGGCTTTCAATCGATCGTCTTGCGATCGGTTGAACTCCAATCGGTTGAATTGCAATCCATTGGATCGCAACCGATGGGACTGCAATCGACTGTGGCGACGGGGCAGCGACGGGCGGCAACCTGTCGGCGGGCCCAGCAGCGGAGCCCAGACCCTCCGGCGCAATCGATCCACTGGCAATCGATTGGAATGCACTCGACTGGACCGCGGTGAACACGCGACGACGAGGCGGCCTCCGCGGCCGCGGCCTCCGCCCTCTGCGCCCTCGACGCTCGTTCTCCTCCTCCGCTCCCGTTCCTCTTCCTCCTCCTGCTGCTCCTCGTCCTCCTCGTCATCGTCCTCGTCCTCGTCCTCGTCCTCGTCCTCGTCCCCGTCCTCCTCCTCCTCCTCCTCCTCCTCCTCCTCCTCCTCCTCATCCTCGGACGCCTGCGAACACCTGTGGAAAATCAGCGAAACTGCCCAAAACAGCGAACACGCAGAAAAAAACATGAAACAACATGATTTCGGGAGAACTTGTGGGGGGGGATTCGATTTTGTCGAAATCATCGGAAGTTGGGGGTGAGATCGAAGTGGAAAGGAGAGCCCCCCACCGGGAAATCGATTTCGGTTTCGGGTTCGTTTCGCGCGTGCGGGCGAGGCGAAGCTGCGTGGGCGGGCGACAGGAATGACTCCGCTGTGGCCAGGACGGGTCAGAACGGTTGACCCTCCTCCCCCCCTCCGGCAATCCGGCGGTTGCCTGGGTGTCCGCCGTGACCGTTGTCCCGTCGCTGTCCCTTCGGCGTATCGTCACGGTGGGCGGGCGGTGGCCGGGTTGTCCCGCCGTGGTCAAGTCGGTGTTTCGTTGGTGTCCCGTCGGTGTCCCGTGGTGTCCCGTGGGTGTTCCGTGGGTGTCCCGTCGGTGTCCAGTGGTGAGATCGATAATGAGATCGACAGTGAAGTCGATAGTGAGAACGATAGTGAGAGTGGTGCTCCGATGGTGTCCCGATATGGTGTCCTGGTGGTGTCACTAGGGAGACTTGTGGGGGGGATCGCAAAGAACCCGATACGCCAAACTGTTCTCATTGTCAGCACCACCGACCACGGAATCGATTGTGACACCCGTCGGTGTCCCGACGGTGCCCCGTCGGGGTCCCGTCAATGCCCCGTCGGTGTCCCGCAAATGTCGCGTCGGTGTCCCGTCGGTGTTCCGTGGGTGTCCTGTCGGTGTCCTGTGGTGTCTCTTAGTGAGATCGTTGGTGAGATCTGTGGCTAGCCCGATAATGAAATCGATAGTGTGAGTGGTGCTACGATGGTGCCCCGATTGGTGTCCCGATGGGTGTCCTGACTGTGTCCTGGGTGGTGTCTCGAGGGTGTCCTGGCGGTGTCCATAGGAAGACTCTAGGGAAACTTGGGGGGGGGGGGGGATTGCAAAAAAAACGATACGCCAAACTGTTTTCGATGGCGGCACCACCAGCCACGGGATCGCTTGTGTCCCGCGAGCGCCCCGAGGCCAAATAAATGCCACCATCCGGCCACTTGTGGCCACGAGCGTCCTAGGAGGCCAAATAGATGACACCACGAGCGCGGGGCTGAGGAAACCCGAATTCGAAGTTTCTGGCGAATTCGAAAGTGATATCGGTAATAATATCGAGAAAGAGGTCGATCGAATGGGTGCGATCGACGTCACTCTCGATCTCACCGATTTCACTATCGACCGTGAAGTCGATAGTGGAATCGATCGATGGTGAGGTCGACCCAATGGGGTCGACAAGGGGGTCACATCGCGACGCAACATTGCCACCACGCGTCGTCGCCAACCCACAGCCTCGAGGAAGAAACCTTCGACTCCGCTTTGTGGTAGAAGCCTCCGACCGTGGGAGATTGCTCTGCGCTCGTGGAGCTGCTCGTATTTCTTGTGGACAAGCTTCCGGTGCTCATCCTCGCGGGGCGGTGGCGAGCATAGGCCAGGGAGCTTGCAGGTCTGAGGCCATCTGAATATGGCAGCGACCACGCTGCAAATATGACGGTGCGAGCCCCAACTGTTCGGGAGCGGCCAAGGGGGGGGTGTCCAAGAGGGGGGTGTGCAAATCATGACCGGCGGCATGTGCGCGGCCCAGCGGGGGGGTCAGCGACGTAATGAAATAAGAAGAGGCGCCATGAAATCTGGGGAAAGATCCCCAGGCATCAGCCCAGGCATCACCCCCCTCTTTGCCGCCCCCGAAATATGATGGTGCGAGCCCCAACTGTTTTTGATTCTGCAATCCCCGGGGCATACATAAGTGTGGATGTGTTGTAACCGTGCGCGCTGAAACCTCGCGCGCGCGTCGCACGGCCAGCCCTCGCCAAGCTCAGCACTGCATGCACGCGCGTACCCACACATTGCTTGAACACAGGCTGAACAAGCAGCAACAGCGCGGGCCAGACAGAGACGTACTGCTGGCAAGGGTACGATTCTCACACTCCAACGCAGAAAACAACTGCAAACCAGCGAACATAATGCAATGAGTTGAGATGAGAATGCAATACTGCAACGCGCCAACATGGAGATATAAAAAACACGGTAATGCGACGACGTACAACATAACGCACGCATAATTTGCAGTACCAAGGCAGTGTGACACTGCGCAAACTGAAGTAAAGCAACACAATACAAACAGATTTGGTGTTGGCTACGACGCGATGTCAATGCAACACAATGAGGTGCTAATTGGATACATGGGGTAATATCCGCCGGCCCCCTTGTGGGGCCACCAGGCTGTAGGCCGAAGGTTCGCAGTTTCCTGTAGCAGTTGCAGCTTCCAGTTTCCACTGTTAAAGTTCTGCTTCTTGCTGCTTACTGTTCCTTGTTGACGGACCGCGCGAGGGGGGGAGGCCGAAACGGGCAGGTTTAGCACACCCTGAGCGTGTGCTCTGAATTGCTAGGGTGGGTAAAAGTTCACACCCCTCACGCAGATCGGCGGGGTCAGGGTCAAAAACACAGGGGATTTGCTAAATTTCTGGAATTAGGTAACACCCCTCACGCAGATCGGCGGGGTCAGGGTCCAAAAACCAAGGGGATTCTCAACATTTCTGACATTCGGTGGCACCTCTCACGCGGATCGACAGGGTCAGGGTCCAAAAACACATGGGATGCGCCACATTTCTGACATTCGGTGGCACCTCTCACGCAGATCGGTGGGGTCAGGGTGCAAAAACATTTGTGATTTGCAACATTTCTGACATTCGGTGGCACCCCTCACGCAGATCGGCGGGGTCAGGGTGCAGAAACACAAAGGATGTGCCACATTTCTGACATTCGGTGGCACCCCTCACGCGGATCGACAGGGTCAGGGTCCAAAAACACAAGGGGGTGTCAACATGTTTGAAATCCGGTGGCACCCCTCATGCAGATCGGTGTGGTCAGGGTCCAAAAACAAATTGGATTTGCAACATTTCTGAAATTCGATTGCACCCCCCACGCAGATCGGGGGGGTCAGGGTCCGAAAACCAATGGGATTCTCTACATTTCTGACATTCGGTGGCACCTCTCACGCGGATCGACAGGGGCAGGGTCCAAAAACACATGGGATGCGCCACATGTCTGACATTCGGTGGCACCCCTCACGCAAATCGGTGGGGTCAGGGTGCAGAAACACAAAGGATGTGCCACATTTCTGAAATCCGGTGGCACCCCTCACGCGGATCGACAGGGTCAGGGTCGAAAAAACGAACAGGTCCCGACACTGCTTCACGGCGGCGCCCAGACCTCATGATTTAGCTTTTGCATATCCCATTGTCCGAAACAGGGGGCCGGCGGCATGGGGCGAAGCCCTTACGTAGAAAAGTTGTCCGCGCGCGGATGTGAATAGCGGTGGAACTAGCCAGTTTCAAACCAAGTCTGAGGGCGGGCGCGGCGGGATGCATCCCTAGAAACCATGCAGCGGATCATGCAGGACAGCTGGAGTAGGCAAGAGGCACGAAGGATGCCGTTTTAGTCTAGCGCTTGAGCAGGTCCATGGCGCACCCGCTGGCGGTCAAGAATTACTAGGAGGCTGCCCTCCTGTCCGCAGCTTCACAACAAAATGTTTGCAGCAAAAAAACTCTACTGACCGCACTTTCGGAAAACAGCATGCCAGGAACGCGACGCGAACCGTGCTCAAGACAGACGGGGTGCTCTTATGACCGCGTAACAAAAAAATGGCCAGCCTGCTGCGAGGGAAATGTTACTGGTGTAGCACAACTGAACGGCTCCTGATGCTCAACTAACGTCGTTCGCTGGAGCAACACTGACTTGTATACTCGATTTCCTTATCGCCGTCGTCTGTCAACGCCCGCAAACTTGACGATGCGAAGGTTGACCTTGCCACGCTGTCGTATATTCGCCTCTTCACTGTTGGGTGAGAGAGCTGCGCTGGCAGCTCGGGGCGGCCATGTCCCTTTCTTCGTCGCTAAACTGGACCGTGTCGCCGCCGTGGCTGATCTGGCCGTTCATCGCGTTGAAGGCGAACTCCCAGCCCATGCTGACATTGGTAATGGGGTCGGCCCGCATGTCCCGAATATCGCACCAGAGGAGGTCGTCGATCTGCTCGGTACGAAGCTGGTCCGCTGCCCGCCGCAGGTGGCCTGCCATGCCCACTCCTCCCTTAGCCTCCTGATCTCATCGGCACAAGCGGGGCCGTGCACCGTCCCTTGCAGCGCGAGGAGGCACGCCTGCAGTCCGCCGGCTGCGCCGCATGCTGCGCGCAGCTCTGAGCCGCGCGAGAATCTGCGCGCCAGCTTCTGCCATCGGCTCACCGCGCCCAACGAATGGCGCGCCTGGTTGCCGGCGCGGCGGTGCTGACCGAGACGCGTGTATACGGCTCCTCTCATGCCGCACCCTGTCTCCTCCCCTTTTGAACGATCCGTCGCTGCGCGCGCCTAGTTGCCCGGCGCACTTCATGGCTGGGAAGGCGATGCGTGCCTTGGCCTTCTGCGTAGCCAGAACGACTCAGTTGAGCTGCGTCGCGCGTCGGATGAGCGGTTCGTTCCTGACTCCCTGCAGGACGACGACGCGCGCGACGACGCGGCGATGGGCGAGCAGGGCGCAAGCAGCTGCGCCCAGGAAGGTTTTTTCCTACATGTATGTATATGTATATGTATATATATATATATATATATATATATATAGATATAGACAGGTGTGCAAATATGCGCACATAGGAATCACCCAACAAACATCAAGCATTGCCAAGCCACTCTCTGGGAGGACAGCGCCCCTTCCCAGAGGAACACCAGCTCTGCGAGCTGTCGCCCAGACGCGCGCAGCCCGCTGGGGGCGGGCCACCCCGCGGGCACTTCTGACCCAAGAGGGCAGAGGTGGGGACGAGAGCCCCCCACACCACACACACACACACGCACACACGCACACACGCACACACACACACGCACACGCACACACGCACACACGCACACACGCACACACGCACACACGCACACACGCACACACGCACACACGCACACACGCACACACGCACACGCACACGCACACGCACACGCACACGCACACGCACACACACACATACACACACACGCACACACACACAAACACACGCAACAGCAACGCCAGACGTTGCAACGGCTTCGCACGGGGGGGCCTCGCATGAGCCCTCGCCCTGGCCGCAAATTGGCAGGGGCACGCCTCGTCTTGCACCTCGAAGATCTCTGGGGCATTGGAGACCAGCCCAGCGGCGCTCCTCAATCCACCTCCGCGACGATCACGGCGCCCAAGCTGGCACTGGTCCAAAACGACCTTGCCCGCGCGCGGCGCGACCAACTCCTCTGGCCATGGCCCATGGAAGCTCGTCGCGCAGCCGTGATGGGTCGGGCTTTCATTGACGAAGTAGCCGCCTAGCTAAGGCTGAAGTCGTGAGAATCAGCCGCAGAGTCGGCCTGCTCGCAATTCAAAATGCTCAACAATCAAAGGGCTGGTAGGCCAGAGCCAGGATGGCAACTTGTGGCCGATGATGTCGAATATACAATTCCACGGGTCGTCGTTGGTTCTCGTCGTTGAGGTCGCAGCCGTTGGCCAAGTCGAAGTTCTCACCAGCTCTGAGATGGCGGCTGGTAGCAAAATTGTTAGTCCGTGCTTCTCAACCACCGTTTCCTGGACATCAGCGCCGTGGTCGAGTGCATTGATGTAGGCGAGGCGCTGGTGGACGGCGTCGAACACGGTGGACTGCGGCGCATGTTAGTCAATTTCGGACTCGGGGGCCGACGGCCCTCGGAACCGCCATGTAGGCAGACCCGCGGTAAGGATGCAGCGATGGTCATCCTCGACGCACTCCTCGGCGTCGCCGAAGTCGCCAAAGGCTGGAAGGCCGCGAAGATAAGGGGCTAGCTCAGTGAGGTCGGTGCCGCCGTCGTCGCAGTCGTCCTCGACGACCTGCCTGCGCGTCTTGGGCGCGTTGCCCTCCTTCAAATTCTTCCGCTGGCGCGTGCGCTCTGCTGCGAGGCGGGCGCCGGTGGCGCAATCGCCAAGCGCCTTCGGCGACTGATCGCGACCGCCCCGCTCCGGGCACGGGGCGTCCGGAAAACCGTTTCCTGCCGGGGCTCCTGCAGGGCGCAGGGCGTCTGGGGAAGTTCGTGGCGCGCTCCTTCTGAGCAGCAGAAGGGCCGGGGCTCCCGCCGCCCATCTCTGGCTGAAGTCTCGGCGCATTTTCGGTGGGTGCTTGGGTGCCTGAGGTTTGGGGCGCGCTGCTGGGCGTCGATTTTGCGCGGCGCCATGGGGCTGGATGATGCGTTCATGTCTTGCGAGCAAGCTGCCGTCGCGCATCGTTGAACACGCACTTTCTTCGACGCGCCTCCGCTAGGTGGGGCGACGCTGGAGCGCGGTGCAAGTCGCCGCGCTTAACGGCGCATCAGGGCTAAATGCGCGCGTCCATGGATGGTCGTCCAGTCGTGCACGCGCTCCTCCAGCTCGAC